GTGCAAGAGGGTTCCCTTTTCTCCACACCCTCTCCAGCATTTGTTTATAGATTTTCTGATGATGCCCATTCTGACCGGGGTGAGGTGATACCTCATTGTAGTTTTGATTTGCATTGCTCTAATGATTAGTGATGTTGAGCATTCTTTCATGTGTTTGTTGGCAATCTGTATATCTTCTTTGGAGAAATGTCTATTTAGGTCTTCTGCCCATTTTTGGATTGGGTTGTTTGTTTTTTTGATATTGAGCTGCATGAGCTGCTTGTAAATTTTGGAGATTAATCCTTTGTCTGTTGCTTCATTTGCAAATATTTTCTCCCATTCTGAGAGCTGTCTTTTCATCTTGTTTATGGTTTCTTTTGCTGTGCAAAAGCTTTTAAGTTTCATTAGGTCCCATTTGTTTATTTTTGTTTTTATTTCCATTTCTCTAGGAGGTGGGTCAAAAAGGATCTTGCTGTGATTTATGTCATAGAGTGTTCTGCCCACATTTTCCTCTAAGAGTTTTATAGTGTCTGGCCTTACATTTCAGTCTTTAATCCATTTTGAGTTTATTTTTGTATATGGTGTTAGGGAGTGTTCTAATTTCATTCTTTTGCATGTAGCTGTCCAGTTTTCCCAGCACCACTTATTGAAGAGGCTGTCTTTTCTCCATCATATATTCTTGCCTCCTTTATCAAAAATAAGCTGACCATATGTGCATGGGTTTATCTCTGGGCTTTCTATACTGTTCCGTTGATCTATATTTCTGTTTGTGTGCCAGTACCATACTGTAGCTTTGTAGTATAGTCTGAAGTCTGGAAGCCTGATTCCTCCAGCTCCGTTTTTCTTTCTCAAGATGGCTTTGGCTATTCGGGGTCTTTTGTGTCTCCATACAAATGGTGAAATTTTTTGTTCTAGTTCTGTGAAAAATGCCATTGATAGTTTGATAGGGATTGCATTGAATCTGTAGATTGTTTTGGGTAGTATAGTCATTTTCACAATGTTGAATCTTCCACTCCAAGAACATGGTATATCCCTCCATCTGTTTGTATCATCTTTAATTTCTGTCATCAGTGTCTTATAGTTTTCTGCATACAGGTCTTCTTAGGTAGGTTTATTCCTAGGCACCTTTTTAAAGAGAGTGTTGTTTCCTGTGACACTGGCAATCCTTCAGAATTGAAAAGGCCTGTCTCTGCATCTCACACTCTGTCACCGGCTCTCAAGATGGGGCCTAAGTGACTTGTCATCTTCTCTTGTCAGTCGCCGGCTCTGGCTGGCACTTGTGCTCCTCCCTCCCCGCTGGAGCCATAATCCTCCCCTTTGATATCACAGTTGTCTCCATGGCACTGAGTAGCCCTCACAGCTCTGCAGGGGCTCTCAGGCTTCGAGAAAAATGGAAACAACAGCAAGAAAGACCTTAAGAAAAGGGTAGGCTTCCCTGGTGGCGCAGTGGTTGAGAGTTCGCCTGCCGATACAGGGGACACGGGTTCGTGCCCTGGTCCGGGAGGATCCCACGTGCCACAGAGTGGCTGGGCCGGTGAGCCATGGCCGCTGAGCCTGCACGTCCGGAGCCTGTGCTCCGCAGCGGGAGAGGCCACAACAGTGAGAGGCCCGCGTACCGCAAAAAAAAAAAAAAAGAAAAGGGTAATGTCCATCTCCACCCTTCATCCCTTCACCCTCCCGGGAAAAACATCTCTAGTAGAGAAGGTACCCAAGAACTGGGAGAATGGCAGAAAGACCCTTAGACAGAAGGCTCTGTTTGCCACTGCTGTTCCAAATGGTATTTTTAATTTTCCTGTTTAAGCAGCATGCCCAAGAGAGCTAGCTTCTGCCCCTGGTGTGACACGGGAAGCAGGGTGTCCAACACCAGGATGGGCTCAGCTTCCAGAAGGGAGGCCCTGGAGTGAACCCCCTTAGGTCACCGGAGAGCTCAGGTCTGGGAGACAGGGAGTGGGAAGGGATGGGAAAACAATGCAAGTTTTGGAATTCCCAGCTATCTCTATGTGATGCTAACAGCTTGGCATGTGTTATGCCCACACCTACACATGTCAGACCCAGTTTTTTGTTTGTTTTTTTAAAATAAATACAAGATCAGCTTTATTTATTTATTTATTTGGGTGCACTCTGCGGCATGTGGGATCATAGTTCCCTGACCGGGGATCAAACCTGCAGTGGAAGCGTGGAATCTTAACCACTGGACCACCAGGGTTTTATGTGTTATGGGGGTTCATCTTGATTCCCCCAGATTCCTGAGGGTGGTTTCTCTCTCGGGCTGTGTGGTCTGCCAAGCCAAGGGCACTGGGCCATCTCTCAGAGCCTTGGGGTCCACTCCTGGTTTGGCCATTTGCTCCTTCTGTGCAGAGGGGGAGATGTGGTGAGAAGATGCTCAGATCTGTGCTGGTGCACACTGGCCGCGTTTCCTAACCTTAGATTGTCACATAGGTTATGTAAAAACTTAGTGTTAGGAAAATAGAAAGTTCTTGATGTAACTGTATTTATTATTGCTGTTTTAAGTAAGTTGTTTTACCTCCTGGATCTCAGTTTTCTCATCTGTAAAGTGGAATAAAATGATCTTACTTGCTACCTTATTATAGAATCACACAAGGAGATGGATGTGAAAATCCCTTCTGAATTGTGAAGTATGAAGAATTATTTGTAACCTTCTTTTATACCCAAGTGTGTCTGTCACTTAGGGGAGAAGGAGTAGGATAGAATTTGCCTTAAATGCTCAGAAAAGGTTTCCAGGCTGCCAAAATCCCTCATTGTCCCTTCCTTGCCAATCCCTTCATCCCTAACTTGCTTTGGCTTCACAAATTCCCCCAAACTGTGTTGCTGCTCCTTGCAGACACCCCACCCCCAGGACAATCGCAGACACCATGCCTGGTAAACAAGGAAGTCTCCTGGGGATCTGGCTCCCCCATCCTCCTCTCCTGTAATTATTCTTCCATTTGCAGGTCTCACCAATCTGAATTTTGACTTGTTAGGGAGTCAAGTAGAGTAGGATGGAGCCCTCTGCACCTGAAGCCCGACCCTGGGGTCCCCCAGCCGTTCTCCCTAAGGCCAGTGAGCTGACTGTTCCAGGCAGTCTGCCCTTGGCAATTCCCAGCAGGAGTCTCTTGGCCCCAGCCCAGACTTTCACCTGGTTTCTATTTCTGCCTTATCTGTGGATTTCTCGTGCAGAGCATGGGCAGTGTGGGAGGAGAGAGGCAGGGCCACACCCAACTAAACCAGCTGGGGCTCCAGCCTGGCTCTGGGAAGTTCTGTTGGAATATTAACACTGGAGGAAGCCAGTGATTACCTCTCAGACTTGCAAGTGAGTTGGGCAAATCGGCTTTGCCGAGAGCTAGACAGGGTGCTGGACAGAGTGAGCTATAGCAGCAAGGGCAGCACATGGTGATGAAGGAGGAGATTTGCTCCCACAGAAAGCGGGCTCTCCGGGGGCTGCCTCCTGGTGGGGGGTCTTTTAAGTGAATTCATTTTGGCAGTTTCTGCCTTCCTTCAGAGAGGTCCCTGGGCATTGCTTTTGTTGTCTCTCTCTGAGGACTCAAGGGAGAGAATGCACGAGGTGGTAGGGAAGCACACGCTCACCCAGGTACTCCACAAGTGGCTGGGAACATTTCTTTCATTCATTCATTCATTCCCTCAACTAACTGGTACTGTGCACTCTTTCGGAGTCAGGCACTAGGCTGGGTTCTTGGGACATTGCAGTGAGAAAGACATTCATTCTGTACCCTTTACTCCACACCGGATGTGGTCAGGGACCAGGATGGAGGTTAGACTCCCCATAGCTGCTCAGTTTGCCTTCATCAGACCCAGGTCACTTTTCTATCCCCAATTGAGGACATGTCACATGGACACAGGTGGGGATGGTTTAGCCCTCTGACCAGCTTTGTATTCCCAGCACCGTTTCTCTAAAGAAGAGAACCCAAGGTCACATAGGTGAACCAGACATTCTGGGTATCGCAGCACTGCCCTCAGCTCCTATAAACAAGGGCTCCTTCCTGGAGACACGTCACTGCCATCTGCTGGAAAACTGTCACAGTGAATGTACAACTCTGCATGATGACAGTGTGAATGGTGCCCCCCTAGATTTGTTCAGTACTCCACCTGCCTACCCATGTGGTCGTGGTCTGTTGTTTATTGTATGAACGCTGCTGCAGGTCCACAGGGCAGCAGCTACTGTCAAAACATCTCAAGAGAAAGATGCTATGGCGTCCCAAACCCCTGAGATGGTAAAAGACATCTTTGTTTGCTATTAGCATATATTTCTAAAGTTTTATTAGATGGAGGGTGAGTGAGGGTGGAAATTTACAGTATTCCAAACTACATGTGAGAATCTGACTAATGAAGAGGTGGAAGGTTATGTAAGAGCGTCTCACTTTCTTTTCCCTCTTTCTTATCCATTTCTCTTCTCTATTCCATCCTGGGGACACAAAGCGTCGCCACTTAGGGAAGTGCTAAACTCTTGGCCAGAACAGTTCCCAGCTCCTTGGCTCCCCATATACTCACACATTCTCGGAGGAACTCTGGAGTATTTTTGTTTAAGAGTCGTTGCCTTATAGTTTAACTTAAAGGGTAAATCTCTGGCCTCAAAGCCCTTTGTCCCCAGAGGTGGTAGATAAGCAAAGAAATGGATTTAATCCACCAGAAATGGAAATGCAGGGCTGCCTTTGAAGAATATTGAGTACCTCTATTTCCAATCCCATAGGGGCTGCAGCACACACACACACACACACACACACACACACACACACACACACAAACGTCTGCACCTGTGTGTGCAGGGATTGGAGTAGATGAACCAGTATCTAACTCAGTGCCTTTTGCCCACTGTCAAAAAATGTTGGTTGATGAAATTGTTGGTGGTGCCTCTAATGCCTGGGGCCTTCCCTTCCTTGAGCTTTGCGGCCCTCGTAGGTAACATAAAGGTGTTAGCTCTGTGTGGTGTGGTTAGCTCTGTTTGCTATGCTATAACAAAAATACCATAGACTGGGTGGCTTAAACAACAAATATTTATTTCTCAGAGTTCTGGAGGCTGGGAAGTCCAAGGTGAAGATGCTGGAAGATTTGGTGTCTGGCGATGTTACCAAGTCCAATCTCACTCTGCTCGCTGCAGGACAGGCCACTAAATCAGAGACGAGGTGTTGAGACAAGGAAGACGACTTTATTCGGAAAGCCGGCAGACGGAGAAGATGGCGGACTAGAGTCTGAAAATAACAATCTTATCGGGGTTTGGATGCCAGTTTCTTTTATAGCACAGAGAGGGGGAGGAGATGAGGAAGTAAAGTAAAAAGGCCATAAGTTTTGCAAATATCTCCTGGCATGGCCAGACTCGGGAAGGGGATGTGTTAATTTCTTCTTTCTTGCAGCCACCCACAAGTGGACAGGGTCCGGATGTTTGTCTGAACAAAGGCACTTCGGTTTAACATTCAGGCAGAGGGGCAGTGTTCCCCGAGGCAGCCCATTATGTATAGACAGTATCGTTTTAGTGAACAAGAGCAGCGGAGAGCAAAGGTTAAAGTAAGAGAAACAGATGCAACATGTAGTCAGATGTGGCTCTTCCCTGTTACAGCGAGAGCCTACTTCCTGGTTCATAGACGGCTGTTTTCTTGCTGTGTTCTCATGTGGCAGAAGGGGTCAGGGAGCTCTCTGCGGTCTCTTTTATAAGGACACTAATCCCATTCATGAGGGCTTCACCCTCATGGCCTAATTCCCTCTCACAGACCCCACCTCCAAATGCTATAACATTGGGGGTTAGGATTTCAACATACCCTTAGAGCGGTATGAGCCCTCAGGACTGCACTACAGGGTAAACACAACCTCCATATGGTGGCAAATGTATGTGTCTTTGTTTCCTTTGTGGTTGGAGACAAAGTTGATGTTTTTGTGTCATCCCTCCATTGAGCCCCTCAGGTGCTGAATAAATACGAAGTCTCCCTGTGTGCGGGGCTCCGTGGTGTGGGCTGTAGGGGCTACGCAGATGAAAGAGACATGATTCCATCCTGAAAAGCTTCCACAAACCCAGCATAGGGCTGAACATGGTACTCAAATGCCACAAGCTTCCAGGCTGTGAGCTCTGGCTGCAGTGCCCACTGTGGGGAGGGAGTGAGAGAAGGTGGAATGGGGAAGGGGGACTGGGGACTGGTCAGCAAGGGCCTTCCCTCTTGATCGAGGGAGTCGTGTCAAGCAGGGTTGGTGTGGTCGACAGACAATGCTCCCGAAGATGTCTGTGTCCTAATCCCTAGAACCCGTGACTATCTTACCACACGTGGTAAAAAGGGACTTTGCAACTGTGATTAAGTCAAGCCTTTGAGGTGGGGAGGTTACCCTGGAGTATCCAGGTGGGCTCTGTTAAAAAAATAAAATTTAAGGGACTTCCCTGGTGGGCCAGTGGTTAAGAATCCTCCTTCCAATGCAGGGGACTCGGGTTCGATCCCTGATCCGAGAACTAAGATCCCACATGCCGCAGGGCAACTAAGCCCGCATGCTGCAACTACTGAGCCTGTGCGCCTCAGCTACAGAGCCCGAGTGCCACAAACTACAGAGCCTACGTGCTCTGGAGCCTGCACACCACAACTAGAGAGAAGCCCACACGCCGCAATGAAGAGCGTGCATGCCGCATCAAAGATGCTGTGTGCTGCAACTAAGACCTGATGCGGCCAAAAATAAATAAAATAAAATAAAACAAAATTCAACAGAGTAAATTTGAAGGTCTAATTGGCTTTATTAAGCAATTTATGAATCAGGTAGCATCTCATCTAGCAAGTAGTAGGGTGATACTCCGAGGATGTGTACAAAATGGAAGGTTTTTATAGGCAGAAGGAGGGTAGGGCAAGGAAGTTTTTAGCAAGAGAAAAGAAAGAATTGTTTCCAGCCAGGTCATCTTCTTTTGAGGCGAAGGGAGTGACAGGGGTCTTATTGTGCAGATTGCTTTGCTAGTGATGATCAGGAAATTTCAGGTTGTCTGTTTAAAGACCACATTCCTAGGAGAGGTTGAAACTGCAGTTAAGTCTTGGTTTGCTGTCATGGGGGCCAATGACTTTATTTTGTGCCTGTTGTTTCTTGTTTTTAAGAGCTCGATGTAGTCACAAGCATCCTCATAAGAGGGAGGTAGGTCCTCATAACAGGGAGTCAAAGGGAGGAGAAGGCCATGAATGATGAAAGCAGAAATTGGAGTGATGCACCCACAAGCCAAGGAATGATGGCAGCCTTGAGAAGCTTAAAGAGACAAGGAAGAGATTCTCCCCTAGAACCTCCACGAGGAACAAGGTGGAGACCCACCTTGATTTTAGCCCCATAAGAATCATTTTGAACTTCTGACCTCTAGAACTGTGAAAGAATAAATTTGTTTTGTTTCAAGCCACTAAATTGGTACAGGCACCAAGCAACATTAGGAAACTAATACAGTTGGAAATTCCTCCAGTTGTTATGGTTTCTAACCTAAGGCAAGTTATTCAAATTTTCTACCAGATGCCAGTCTCCTCACCTTTTAAGGAGTTTAACAGTAATACTTAACTTGTAGGATTTTAAGGATGAACTGAGATAACAAGTGAAGCACCTGCACATAGACAGCTTGTTAGGATTGGTGTGCCTACAGGCTATGTGGGGCTCAATAACCCACTCTCGCCTTCCCTTCCTCTCCCCATCCTGGCCTTTCTCAGTACAGTTTTTCTTCTTGATCACTCTCCCCTCCTGTAGCTGTGTTACCAGAAGAGGGACCCCTTCCAGGGCCCAAGAGTGGACTCTTGTCTAACACTTGGAAATGAATTGTCCGAGGAGACACATGTGTTGACAATGCAAAAGGCTGCTGGGTGTGTGACTTTCTTCTGATTGGTTGGTAGTGAGGTAACAGGGTGAATCTGCCCTTTGGTATTCAGGAAGGTCTAGGAGGCTGAAACCTTTTTCCTACAAACAAGAAATGGAAGAAGTGGAAAGGATTCGTAGGGTCCTGCAGGAGGGCCCTGCAGGGTCCTGCTTGGTTTCAGTTACTGATAAGCTATTAACATTTAAAAATTAGGGACTTCCCTGGTGACGCAGTGGTTAAGAATCTGCCTGCCAGTGCAGGGGACACGGGTTTGAGCCCTGGTCCGGGAAGATCCCACATGCCGCGGAGCAACTGAGCCCGTGTACCACAACTACTGAGCCTGCGTTCTAGACCCCGCGAGCCACAACTACTGAAGCCTGCGTGCCTAGAGCCCGTGCTCCGCAACAAGAGAAGCCACTGCAATGAGAAGCCCATGCACCACAACAAAGAGTAGCCCCCGCTCGCGTCACAAGTAGAGAAAGCCCGCACGCAGCAACAAAGGCCCAACGCAGCCAAAAATAAAATAAATAAATAAATAAAAATAAAATAAAAATTAGTTATCTGTTTTATTGTAAGCACATGTAAAAAATGTCCATTTTGTGTACAACATTTAATGAGGTTAACAAGGGAATCTTTGAGATCCATATGTAGCTGCATGTGACTAAGTTGAGGCTTTAGAAGGTATGCGTGAATTTTCTTAGAATTCTGTCCCTGATTGTTGGAAGTCTGTCATTTCTAACAACGGCAGACCCAGAAACACACGTTGCTTTTACGCACATATCTTTTTCACAGCTTTATTGAGGTATAACGACAGGTAAGTAACTGCACGTATTTAAAATGTCCAATTTGGTAAGTTTTGACATATCTATCTACCTATGAAATCATCACCATAATTAGGATGATAAACATATCCATCACCGCCACCCCGATTTCCTTGTGCCCCTTTGTGATCCATTCCTCCTGCCCATCTGTCCTCCTCTATCCCTTCTTGCCCATTCTCCCTACAGGCAAGCCATGGATCTGTTTTCTATCACTAGAGATCAGTCTGCATTTTTATAATTGTATATAAATGGAATCATGCAGTATGTGTTCTTTTTTGTCTAGTGTCTTTCACTCAATATAAGATTCATCCAGGGTGTCAGTAGTTCATTCGTTTGTATTACTGAGTGGTATTCCATTGTATGGATAGACACAGTTTGTTTATTCATTCCCCAGATGATGACCATTTGTGTTGTTTCCAGTTCAAGGCTAGTACAAATAAACTGCTCTAGACATTCATAAGAGTCTTTGTATGGAATCTGCTTTCATGTCTCTTGGGCAAATACCTAAAATAGAAATGGCTGGGCCATATGGTAGGTGTATGTATAACTTTTTAAGAAACTGTCTAACTTTTCCCAAGTGGTTGTACCATTTTACATTCCCAACAGCAATGTATGAGAGTTCCCTACCAATACTCTATCAGGTCAGCCTTTTCATGTTAATCATTCTGTTAGCGGTATCTCATTGTGGTTTTAATTTAAATTTCCATAATGACTAAAGATGTTGCGCATCTTCTCATGTGCTCATCCATACATCTCCTTTGGTGAAATGTCTTCAAATCTTTTGCTTATTTGGAAAAATTGTGTTGTTGGTATTATTGAATTTTTAAAGCTCCTTATTCACCCTGGATCCAAGTCCTTTATAAGACATATTCTAAGATTTTCTCCCTGTCCTTGGCTTCTCTTTTCATTCAACACTATCTTTTGAAGAGCAGAAATTTTTAATTTTGATGAAGTTCAAATTATCAATTTTTTTTTAATGAATGGTGTTTTTGATGTGTCAAAAAAAAGTCTTTGTCTACTCTAAGTTCACAAAGATTTACTCTTATATTTTCTTCCAGAAGTTTTGTTGTTTTAGGTTTTACATTTAGGACTATGATTCATTTTGAGTAAATTTTTGTAAATGGTGGATATATGAATAGAAGTTAAGATTTTAAAATATGAATAGCCAATTGTCCCATCACCATTTGTCGAAAAGACCATCCTTTTTCCGCTGGAGTGCCTTTGCACCTTTGTCAAAAATTAGTTAACCGTATATGTGTGGATTCTTATAAATATTTTAATGTACTCTTTCAAGTATAAAATAGGTGCTGTATTTAAAATTGTACATTGTATAAATTCTAAGATTATTTTCAGAAAGTTCATTAACAAATGCTCATAAATGAACACAATAAATTTACCTGTCAACGATTTGTGTCAATATTTATAAAGGCACTATTTCCTGCTTTTATTAGTACTTTTGCTGGAATGAGTCATGAAAACCACACCTAGCTAAGCCTTGGGGAAACACACCTCAGTGTTTTATAAATGCCTCACGGTAAAAATTTGATATTAAACTGATGCCTTTCCAATTCTTTAACCCCCTCACTTCTCCGCTTCACCGTTCCAGTGGCAGCAGCACCTTCTCTGCATTGCTCTTAGGGTAGGGACCATACAGAGAGAACAAAGCGTCCCTTTCCTGGCTTTTGAGCTCTTAAGTAGCCTTTTGTAAATCTATTGTAGAGGCAATGGTATTGAGAGCCATGGATTTCAATTCTAAGGGCAAGGTGCTTGAGAGAAAAAAGGGTATTTTTGAATTTCAAAAGCTTGGCTTTAAATATCAAAAGCCAAAGCCAGAGGGCTCAGAGCACAGATTTTATATCATAAACCAGACTGTGGAGAATAACAGTCTCTTTCTCAGCCCAAAAAGAGATAAGATTTCAACCAGGGGGTGAGGTGGAGTGGAGGAGGGAGAATTGGAAGGAACTCGATTAAAGTTTAAACTGAAACTGGTGGGTCCCTGGGAAGGGGCTTAGCACTCTATCCACTGGGCCCAGGCTGCGATGTTGACTGGAGCCCAGACAGGCCTGAGGGGCCTCAAGGAGAGGGGTGATTGCCTGACCACCCTGAGTGAAGCTTGCATTCTCCAGAACCACAGCTCAGCAGTGTGGGAACAGAGGTTGAAGATGTTTAGGACTGAAGGGCCCCCAGACTCCCAGAATCCTTATGCTCCAGTGTCAGGTGGGCACTCCTAAGAAGGGCCTGTCGGTGGCCATCAGGGCCAGCAGCCTGGAAGAAGCGTTCTGATTAGGATGAGAAGGATGTGGGGTCAGGGTCACTG